CACCACAGGAAATACTTAGGGAATATGCTACAGCAACTGCATTCCAATTACTTACAGCCAACAACCTGAAGCTGGATTTGTGATGAAAACTGTACATACCCCTAGTGAAAACCTCTCTCCTCAGCTGAACAACACTGCAAGTAAGGCAAAACCAGATATATAGTTCATTTTAAATATTCATTTGTGTGTGTGTGTGTGATTTTTCTACAGCTTTTATTAGACTAGTTGTCAAACCATGTATAATTGCATAGCAGGAATAGGCCAGACAGAGAGGGATAGCTTTCCATGCACTGTTTTTATTCCTGGGCTTTAAAACCAACAATGGCGATTTAAGGGGAGTCATTGTTTTGATTCTTTCCTGTGGATGTGGATTTTTCAAAGAGCCTCATTACATATCTGAGATGACCTTTTCTTTTTCTGGACCGTCAGTAAGAACTAGAGGATGAAAACCAAACCGGGATGAAATTCAGCCTGTCGCTGTGAGCTTCAGGAGCTTCCCTTGAACTCAGAGTGGTTCAGGCTCCTCTCCTCTGGTATCAGATCACCGCTTGCATTATACTCAAATCCACTCATGTTTTCATGATCCAAAGCAACAGCTCTTGTTTCTCTTTCTCAGAAAATCTATTCCTTGGTCAGACATTCTTCTCAGAAATTTAACCTTTTATATATCAGCCTTATTTCCCACTGCTTTCCCATTTCTCTTCACCATTTACGATTGCACAGCCTCTGTGCCACGTGTGTTTACCTCTGAGGGCTGTTCATGAGCTTCCCCTGAGAAAGGCAGGATTGCCAAGGCAAGAAGTCACCATCAAGGCAGTTCAAGATGCTGAACAAATTCATCTCCAGATTCAGACACCTCAACAAAGGTGTCTCCAATGGAGGTGTCTCCATATGATGGGGAAGTCCAATCTCGTCTTGTGTTCGATGGAGATATGGGCAAGACAGCCAAAGGATCTAAAAACATCCTTCTTACAACTCTGGTTCCTTTTGCCATAATCACTAAGGAAACAACTTTTTGAGTGTCATCTAATGTCATTTGAGGTGCCCTGAGTACCCTGCCTCAGTCCAGCTCCCAGCTTAAACATGTTCTTGTCTTCTGTATGCAAGTTGCTCCACATGGAGGTCTGGAATATCCTAAGGCATCTCAAATATTGCTGGATTCCCACTTGTGATGATTGCATGAACCCTTCACTCTTTGTTGAGTAAAGTAAGAGATGTTGTTTAACCATGGACGCCCTGGAGTGAGTCTCTACAGTAGGAACTGAATCCTGTCTGAAATGCATTGACAAGGTGCACTGCGATGTGAAGGGCATCTATTCCCTGCTTTATCTTGGATTTTATACCAGACCTCGGGTAAATCCTTCAAATCTTAGTGCTTCATCTGCCAAATGGGACTTTATAGAGCTCTACCTCACTGTGCTGAATGTAGGTTAAAGATGTCTCACCATAAGGACTTCAGGGCTCATTACTAAAGGGAACTGAGGGATTCATTCTTGTGATGTGTCATTCAAGATACATTGGCTTGGCTCCTTGATGGTGCTGACTTTGACCTGTGAGTCACTCATTGCTTCCTAGCAGGCGACAGAAAAAGTTCAAGGGCTGTGGTACAGCCCACTGCAGAGAGTTTGAAGACCATCCCAGTCTATGCTAGTCTGACTTGTTATGGGCAGGTGAGATACATATCCCAAAGATGCAGCCACAGGGCTTCCAGCCCCACAGTAGTAGGCATCCTCCTGGCTTGAGAATGCCCACAGACATGTGGTAGTGCATGTGGGTATGTTCCACTCCCAAGACTAAGCACAGAGTGGGAGGAGTGGGAGTGGGTTTTTTTGAAGTGACTTTAGTTTTAACCCAACTTCATCTCTTTGATAAACAAACCTTGGAAGGGAGTTGAATCCTACTCATGCTAGATGAAGGTGCGTCACTCACCATGTGCAAAAGTGAGAGTCAAAAAAACAAGTTACTTCTCATGTGATCCAACTTTTCAGGACTTTCTGTTCAAGTTATAATTGAAGAAATCTCTATAGTTGCTTAGAAATAAGGTCTGGAGAAGTGTGTGTGTGGGGAGGGGTTGAGGAGAAAGGGAGGAAGGGATAATTTATACCATATACTCTGAGAATTGTAAATTGTGTGACAATGTCACAGGCTAGAAATCACAGGGAAAGATAGTAATGAGAAACTCATGGTCAAGATAACAAAAGTGCTGTGTCATTTAAGTTTGTATGAAATAACCAGGGAATAATGTCTGTGGCAACACAGTGAGAAGTAGTGGAGGATTCTTTTATATCACTCCGTAGCTCCTGTTGACATCCACCTACAGATCTCATCCCCTTACTCCCAGGTCCAGATCCTGCTCATCGCTAGGATGCCAAAATTCACATTTGCCACAGACTTGTGTATTTTTAAACCACAGCAGAACTATGTCAAAATGTCTAGAGATACTTCATTGCCTCCCTCAGATCTTAGTGTAAATGAGGAGACAATGAACTGTTTTGCAAGGGTAGGACTCATGCCGCCTGACTGCTGGTGCTCGCATATCCCCTCACTCCTCTGTCAAGGGATGGAGTCAGACACCTTGGGAGCATGAGTCAACCTCTCCCTGTCCCACACATGGATCTTAGGACAGGGTGAATCACTTTCTGGGGGTGTCTAGCTCTCTCTGTTGTCTTGAGGAGATGTTCAGATGACTGTCAGCAGGCAGAGTACCGCGATGTGAGTGACTCAACACACGTACTCTCAGCTCTGTGCAAGTTACAGCAAAGGCTGTGATTAGTGGAGGGTTCTGCACTGAAAACCTTACAGTGGGGAAAGCCTTTATGTGTATACTGGGGGGTGTTTCAGGTGTGTTTTATTCCTCTCTCTATTCTAGAATAAATGAGCCCAACAGAAACATTTTTTAAGTCAATGTGACACACTTGTCGCTTGTGGGTTTGTGCTGCTTGAGTTTCAGTGCACAGGTACAGCTAATGCTGTACAAGTTTCCAGTATAACTGCACTGAAATAAGAAAATAAATGACATATTTTATTCTGCTAATCATGGAAAGTTTTTAAACTGAAGAGCTGAAAGATACTTCAACAAATAGTACTTATACACACAACATAACTTAAAAATTGCTCAGCATTACTCAGCCTTCCAAAACTGTTAATTATGTGTACCGAAAATGTAACACATCTGGTAGGTTAAAAATAAATCTAATCTACATCTGTTTGGGGCTGAGGCTATTCACATTCAGAAGTTTCCATCCATTATAAGGAGAGACTGTGGGAGCTGTGCCTGTTTAGTCTAGAGAAGAGAAGACTGAGAGGGGATCTCATCAATCCTTACAAATACTTCCAAGGGATGTCAGACGATGGTGCCAGACTCTTTTCATTGGTGTTCAGAGACAGGACAAGGAGTAATGGCCATAAACTAAACAACAAGAAGTTCCACCTCAACATGAGGAAGAACCTCTTTACACTGAGGGTGTCAGAGCACTGGACAGGCTGCCCAGGAAGGTCCTGGAGTCTCCCTCTCTGGAGACATTCAAAAATTCACCTGGACATGTTCCTGCATCACCTGCTGTAGGTGACCCTGCCTTGGCAGGGGGATTGGACTAGATGATCTCCAGAGGTCCGTTCCAACCCAAACTACTCTGTGATTCTGTGGTTAGAATCCCCAAGTCCTACTTTACAGTGTTTCATGTTGAGGACTTAGAACTTGGGGAAAAATGTGATTTTCCTAAAGCTGGTGGCCTATCCGTCTTTGATAAGGCTACTGGTCTTACTGGTTTGTGGCTGTTTTTTTGAATTTGACTCTGAAATGCCAATCCACATGTGAGCCCAAAGGCAAGGTGTTCAGAGAGACTTGAGAGTTGATGGAAAGGCATAGTTTTGGTGGACCTGCAGGTTGGGAGAATTCCAGTGAGGGCAGAGATGGAGGTCTGCCATCCTTTCTGGCCATCTTCTCCATCACCTTTCCTCCACACACAGCTAGACTAGAAGGGGGGTAGTCTAACCCCACTGCACTGTGGGCACTATTTTATCCTTTGGAGAAAAGAAATTGAGTGTTGGTAGGGATGAAGAATAAGATCAGGCCCCTTTGGAATATCATGAGGTGCCTGCCCCACGTCAGGCCATAGGGGGATGAGTTGGGAGCTGAGGGTGACCTCGTGCAGGCTGTGCCCTCACTGATAGGAAAAGTCCTCAGAGTCTGAGTGCTTTGGGCACAACTAAATGCTGGAAAAGGCACCCTCAGTGGTCCCAGATAAGGCAAGGGGTGGACCAGATCCAACGGCTCTTCAGGGGGTCACATCAGGAGCAGAAAGAGACAGGGCTGGAGACACAACTGCCACTTGCATCTGTGGTTCCTCCAGGAGACAAGGCTAGAGATGAGCTACCTCCAATACAGGTCTTCAGTCCATCCTGGAAACAGGGCAGGGGATTTGCTAGAGGGATCAGATTCTTTGTTTTGGGACCCTATGTAGGATATTGATGAGTCTTGATGCTTCCTGTATTTATATATTCATCTGCAGGGGACAAAAAGCCTGCCTATTTTTCCCAAAGGCAAAGGCAAACAGGGATTCCTGAGTAAGGCAGAATCAATGGGGATGTTGCTTATATAAAAGTATTTTAGAATTTAAAGGAATCCATGCAGTTCCAGGGAATATAGACATCCTGCTCTTGTGATGGTGCATTTCAAGATAGATTCCTCTCTACAGAGAGTAAAAGTTGTGGATCCAATCAGGATGTAACAATCAGGCTGTTCCCCGTAGGGGTGGGGTGACAGAGGCAGTGGCTCATGAAGATAAGGATAATGTGTCAGAGAACTCCTGAATGCAGCATCATTTCCAATTCCTACACTGATATTTCTGTATTTCTCTCCTCCAGACTGTAAGGACAACCTGATGTGAGTTGAACCTTCAGGCTACTGAGCCTGCCTCAGATGCAATAATTTAGTGAGCAGATGATGTTTTCAACCAAACTTCCTGTCTAACTCAGTGGATCTGTGTGTCTTCCGGCAGGTGTGTCCTCTGTGGCCTCCCTGATGTCCCTGGCTTGGGTGCTAGCCTCCTATCACAAGCTTCTTCGGGACTCTAGGGACGACAAGAAGAGTATGAGCTACAGAGGGGCCCTCATCCATCTCTTCTGGCGCCTCTTCACCATCTCATCCCGAGTTATTTCTTTTGCTCTCTTTGCTTCCATCTTCCAGCTCTACTTTGGGATCTTTGTAGTGGTCCATTGGTGTGCCATGGCTTTCTGGATCATCCATGGTGGGACAGATTTCTGCATGTCTAAGTGGGAGGAGATCCTCTTCAACATGGTGGTAGGGATTGTGTACATTTTCTGCTGGTTTAATGTCAAGGAAGGGCGGACTCGATACCGAATGTTTGCGTATTACACGGTAGTGCTGACAGAAAACGCTGCCTTGACGCTCCTTTGGTATTTTTACAGAGATCCTGACACTACTGACTCATATGCCGTGCCAGCACTGTGTTGTGTCTTTCTTAGCTTTGCTGCTGGGATAGCTTTGATGCTGTTATATTATGGTGTGCTTCATCCCATGGGGCCAAGAGCTAAGATATTTGCCAGCTCCTGTTGCGCCGAGCTGCTCTGGGGCATTCCTTTGCCCCCCGATGTTGAGCCCATGGCACCCCAAACCCCTGGGTACCGGGGGGCCCAGGCTACGCCCACCAGAGCGGTCACGGAGCAACAGGAGGAACTCACAGCTGACACTTGCTTGCCCGTTTTCCAGGTGAGAGCAATGGTACCATCTACTCCATCTGGGCGACCCTACCCCCCTGAGGGGCCTCTCATTAAGATTGACATCCCAAGAAAAAGATACCCTGCATGGGATGCTCATTTTGTAGACAGGAGGTTAAGAAGAACTATCAACATCCTCCAATATGTCACCCCCACAGCTGTAGGTATTAGGTATAGAGATGGACCTCTCTTATATGAGTTGCTACAATATGAATCTTCACTTTAAAGCTCCTTAAAGCAAAAGTAAAAGAGGGGACCTTATTTTTGTTTACGGTAAACACAGATCATGAAACAAACACAAACCTTCAGATAGGCTTTCTTTCTGGTTGCTGTATGTATAAAAAAAAGGAAAAAAAAGATATTCTCTATGTTTTGTAAGTAAAAACAAAAAGAAAAACTTTTCTTTTGTTTTTTACACACAAGAAACAGTATTTCAACTTCCACACCTAGGATTCACAGGTGGAGAAGGAGGCATCTCCACATCAGTTTTATACCGTACACCAAGTGTAGAACATTATTTATGGGATTGGTGCTGATTGAAAAATAAAAAAAAAAAACAAACAAACAAACCTACAACTGCCTTATGCCCTTAGGTGCTGAGTTTCATTAAGTACTGTCACCTTTCTCATGCAAAACTCTTTGATGATTATATGCCAGGAAAAAAACCCACCCAACCAACCAACTGAAATGCAAACCTTAAAATAAAATAAAAAAAAAGAGAAAACATTTTAAAAACAAATGAATAACAGCAACAAAAAGAGAGAAATTTATGAACAAAAATCCTGTTGCTCTTATTGGATTTAGTAGAAAACAAACCCCCAAATGTCTAAAGATAAGAAAGCAAAGCCAAGACACCCCTAATGGAATTTGATTTTATCAACAGCTGAAAGACAAAATCAGGTCTGGAACTCAATTTGGCATTTATAACACCCTTGGGCCAAGCTTGTGAGCCTTGACCAAGTTGTGTTATCAACGTGATCCCACCATGGTACCACTTTCCTCGTGTAAACAGACCAGGTGCTGTGGTGGGTTTGCACCACATTAGTGTGAAAATACAGGATCTGATCTTGTTTCCAACAACTGCACATGCTAAAGCACCACTGTCTTCAGTGGAGCAAAGAGCCTGAGCCCAGAATAAGGCCTGCCACCTTGATTTCTGGAAAATAAGGAATTCTTGCAATTATAGACCAAAAACCTGATCCTAAAGTACATTTACACATGTCTAATAATGATTTCAGTAATAATAAAACTCAGCATAGTAGCAAAAAGCGAGTCAATTTAAAGGCACAATACTTGATCAGTGACTGGCAAAAGAATTTGACCTACTGTATCATTTTAAGGCTGTGAAAGGCATACATGTATTATTTGTAATCTCGTGTAAGACCTGTCATGTCTCATTCAGTGCGAGCCTTAAAGTGATTGTAAAGCATCCTTCGTTCCATTTTGGGGATTTTTGGGTTTTGATTTTTTCTTTTGTTCTGTTTTGTTTTTAAGGAAAACAAAACATGAAAATCGGGATTATAAAAACACACAAAAAAACAAACACAAACAACAACAAAACAACCAACAATCTTCTTCAAACGGTAATAACCTGTAAACTGACTCACATCTCGAGATGATTTGGTGCTTTGTATTTTTGTTGATGTTGTTGTTGTGATTTAGCTGAGAATTCTTCGACTCGGTACATGTGGGGAACTGCTGATAAAAACTGTCTCGTGTCACCCTCTACTGTAAGTACATGGCGAGAAACAACAAGCAGAGGAAATAGAAGAGTGTAGCAAGAGCATCGTGGTTTAGCTTAGCCTTCTCACCGCAAGGAGATGCTGCCACCTCCGATGATGGCAAAGCCCAGACAGTCACCTGCCGAGGGCTGTGTGGTTGTCTTGACATTTCCAAATAACCCACTCAGTGTCTGAACATTCACATCTCTTGGATTCTGTTGCTGTGCTGGAATCTCTTGTTTTCAAGTTCAATCACGGGTTTGCATCTATCCAACATCCTTTTCCGTTTCGAGAGTATTGCTCCTTTAAAGGAATCTTCCCGTTTCAGGGCATCTTTTCAATCCCACCATCCCTTGACTTGGGAGGGGAAAAAACAACAACAACAAAATGAGATATTTTTAAGTGAATGCTGTAGTATTTTCTGTGTGTAATTGCAATTTTTTATTCCAGAAATACTGTAACTGTCTAGGGTGCAGAACTCCCATGCTGATCTATTCTGAAGAGAAGATCAGCATGGGGGGGATATTTTTTAATTATGATTATGTTTTTTTTTAATTTGAGGAATCAGTTGATTTTTTTTAATTCTAATAGTATTTAATGAAAATAGTACCAATTTTATATAACAGTTTAAAGAAGCTGAATGCTTTCTTCGCCTGAATATACCTGAAGAGAAACATTTTTTTCAATCAGTGATCCTTTGCAGTGTTCTGAGAAAATATTGGGGTTTCTTCCGTTGTTTCATTTTGTTTTGTAAAGAAAACTTTTAACTGGTTTCTGTCCCTTTCCAGGAGGGCAGGACTCATTCACGCCAAACTATAGAAACACGGCAAAGTTTATATTAAGCCAAATTGTCACTGGTACTGTAATTCCCAGTCAAACTCCATTTCAGGCTAATGTTTCTGGGCTCTGATTATAACCAATGTGATGGTCACATTTTCATGCAAAGGGAGGGATTTTGTCTTGTCATCCCCTATCTAACCTCCCAGTCCCTTGTTTACTGTGCACATAAATACATATGTATATATATATATACATGAACTTATATATATTTGTGAAAAACTTTCATTTCCCTTCTCCCTTGTCTGTGTCCCATAACCAGTCCCTTCTCAAGTGTCCTACTAACATTTCACACTGTTTCTTCCCTAATTGGTACGGTGTCTCCATAAAAAGAGGTAATTTGTGAAGTGAACTTGCTGTCCCCATCTACTGAGTCATAAAAACATGGAGGTGCCCATCCTCCAGCAACAGGCCTGCATTTCTCTTCCCAGGACTTTCTTTTGACATTCTTGTAATGCTAGTGTAGACTTACTCAACTCAATTCCCTGTGTAAAGAGTCTCCTTGATCCTTCCATGAAGAACTTTCCTCTACACATCTGCATTTCACTGGCATAAGCATGAGAAAGGAATGGATGGCGAACATCCCTGCTGTTCCTCGGGGAACATTCTTCCAGGAGACAGCATCCTCATTTTCAGAAGCACCATAAGAAGGTCCCTCTCCCCAAACTTGCCAACCTCGAGGTCTGCTTTGGAGATGTGATCCCACTCCCTGCCCCACTGAACAGCTGAATCCAGCCACTTCACACCAGGACCGTGAAAGATGCCAGTGAGCCAAGACACAGCATCAGGTGTCAAGAAGGAGACCCTTCAATGTTGCCTCTCATGAGCAACTGCAGCCTTCCTTCCCTCAGGAACGGGATCTTGCTCCACACTACCACACCAACAGCCGTTCTCTCCAATCCTGTGATGGGACTGGAGGGGCAAAACACTCTAGAAGTGTCCTTACTTCTCAATACAGTGCTAATTTTTCACAACCAAACCAGCTTAACTAAGGGCTTGACACATCCCTGTTCCAAAGTCCTCCTCCTTCATGGCTCGTAGTATGGATAACAACCAAGGCAGGTGCCTCCACTGCATGTTGACTGTACCATTATGCTTAGTTGCATAAACTTTCTCCCTCTGCTGTTACTCCTTTCTTTGAAAGATATCCACTGGTGTCTTCACTTAGCAAAAGATTTCCAGTGAGAGCCTGTGTCAACCCTGAAGAACTATTTCTTTTTCAAGGACTTCATTACAGCCTTAACGTGAAACACGTGCTCTGCCACTACACCCAACAAGTTCATGGTGGACAGTTTGGGGTGGTGACCATTTCCTCTTGGGATTACCTGTGATCTTGTTGCCAAACAGCGCCTTTTGCCAAGCCAAAAGCTCAGGGGGGAAAACTACCCCCAGCTCTTTATTGGTACTAATCCCAGTGCTAAGAGTCTAGTCCTCTCCTCTTTGTTATTTTTTGCCCAGGATCCCTTTGATTTTTGGTGCGCACTTTGGCAGGATGGTCAGTGACTCATTTTGGTTTCACTTTGGTTTTAACTCCTCAGCTTTTCCCTGGTAGCTTAGCTATACCATGTCCCACCTTCTTGCCAGAAGATACTGTATGAGGAGTTTTTCAAACTGGCATGGAGAAGGTTGAGTCCATATTTATTCACATGTCAAGATCAGTGGGCAGCTTGTCTAGCATGTTTGTGCTGCTGGATTCACCCTGGGATCACCTAAACCAGCCAACTATGCCACACCAGGGCAAAACCAAGGCACGAGGTCTCCACCGTCCCAACTGTTATGTTGTTCAGACCTTCCCTGGCATGGTTTTGACCCACTCCAATGTGCCCTGGGCTCAGACACAGCTTGCCCAGGCATTGATGCTGGCCAGAGACCAGCCCCAATCAGCAGTTTGGATGCAGCTGCTTTGGAGAAGAGGTGGAAGATTTTAGCAGTGTGGATGAGGCCAACACTTGTCAGTTGGCTTCATAGCCAGAATGGATTCTGAAAGTGGTTGATTTGCTGATAAAGATGTAACTCTGTGCCACAGACTGGGATTCAGGACATGGTGGAGCACATCAGCTCCAATCTGGCATTTTTCTGTTTTCTGCCTGATTCAATGGACAAGTTATGTTTTGGTTCATTTTGTTCTGTTTCGCTGAGGTTGTTTTGCAAACAGAATCACTTTTATCACTAATGTCAACCCATCCATCCCTCCATCCATATCAGATGGCTGGCATGCTTACTGTGATAGTGTTATACATCCATAGGCAGCTAACTTGGAGACAGGAATGATTCAGACCAGCCCAAATCAACAATGGAAATACAGGAATTACAAGGTCCCTACCCATGCCCTTGTCACGCTTTTCCACCCACACAAGGCATTTTCCATCCACAGCATATCCAAAACCTGAACTGCAGAAAAGGACCCAATGTTGTATAATTACCAGTGGAAAGTGCAAGTGAGCCACTAATTTCAAATGTAAATATATATATTTTCAGTGTTTGGGATTGGAGCTCATTGTCTGCTTCACCCTGTCCTTCACAGCACCTGCCAAAAGGCAGTAGTCATTTGCACATATTTTTATTTAAAGCTGACTAGCTGAAACAGGACAAAATTAATTCCAAGCTTAGTCAATGGTCTGCTAAAACCTGGCTCACGAGGAGAGCATTGCTGTTGACTTTCAGAGCACAATCACCCTGTGCTCTTCAGGTATATTTTTATACACACAAGATTCACTTCACAATTTATCCCTTCCCCATGCCCCTGCACAGAAATGCATGTCACACTTGTCACCCACATACCTGCAGCATGACTAAACCTCCTGAAGAAAATGTGGTCTGAGGTTTGTCCAGCATGATTTCATTGAAGCTCAGAGGTGCTTTGAAAAGGAAAACTTACTACTGTGCATTTGCAAAACCTTTTAGTGCCTGCCTGCTGGGCAGCTTGGGCAAGAGACAATTTGGAAGCTGCCGGAGTCAGCGGAAAATTGTGGAGACAG